GTTGCCCCGTAACTCGCACACAGCCTAGAAACTAAAGTAAATTATAATGACTTGTTTGGCGGCAAATAAGACATATATAATATGATCAGTTACTCTTCTACGCGGGTCGAGGTGCATGGAGAGTGCATTGGTGAAGCGCGCAAGACGCACGTACACACACATACACAGACACACACCATAACACAGACAAACACGGCCGCGCGCACGCACACCGCAACACGCACTACGCACAACACACACACACCAGCCATCGGAGTGGCTGTTCGTGGCCTCCGTGAGCAAGGGTCAAAATTCCATTCCACGAACTTCCTTTGTTGATCGCCATTGATCGTCATGGCCATGTCGCGGGGGCATATTTTAAACCAAAGGAAATCTTGGTCCACAGAAGAGTAGGCACTAATATCTTAAGGTATAATTGGCAATAGATACATGATACAATGGATAGAGTATATGCGTTCTGCCAGCAGACTTACATGATACAAGCTGAATTCCACTCGGCGTCTATGACGGAGCGCGGACTGTGTATGATCGCAGACTGTCTTGGCCTCCGTGAGGAGCGAGCAAGATGACGATTCAATGCCACCGTTTATATCGCCAGACCCGTTCTGAGTCCCTCACAGTCCAGAGCGGGACCGTACGTAAATATAAACAGCAATCTGTCCCGGCTGTGCGCTACGTCTTCCGTCACTCGCGCGTCTTGCATCTGTCTGCCTCGTTCTGTCTTTCTGAGCTGTCTTTCTCTCTCTACTCCTCATCTCTCTCTCTTCTTCTCTCTCTCAACTCTCTCAATCTCTCTCTCTGTCTCATGCATCTGCTCTCTCGTTCTCTCTCTTGCTCTCATCTCTCTTCTCTTCTCATTTCTACACTCTATTTATCAACTCTTCTCTCCTCTTTCTCTCTTAGCAGACACAACACAACACTCTCTAATTATATATATATAGTATACTGGCTGCCCTATGCACCTGCTGTACGCCGTTGTTTTCGCTTGCACGCTTTCACCTGAATAGAGAGACAGCCGCGCCCGACGCGTGCGCTTCCCTACACGTTACTGAATGTGGCCTTGGGATAACAGTAAAAAGTTATCTAGGTAGAAGTTGACGTTCGCAACTGCCACGAGACGACCGATATGTCGGCAAAAGGGCGTGAATACAGCAAAGCAAACGGTTCTCCGTTATGTCTGTCCTATCAGTTGTGATTTATGCGCGCCCGCGCCCATTGTAATCGTTCGATGTCATACGTGCAGCAGTTGATAATTAGACTAAGCCACTCGTTAAATGTATAGGGCCTTCGTGTTGTTCCTTACGCGAATAGTGCAGCGTTCGCGACCAAGCGTTCGAAGTCCACACACATTGACGATTGACTCCGTATTTGGTGCATGGAGTAGCAGCAGAAAGGCTGGCAGGAAGCGGTGGCATGAACAACTAACTCGAAACTGATCATAATATAAACACCACGAGGAGGTTTTCGTAGGCATTTTTTTCGAGAGACCACGCTGCTTCCCCCCAACGTTTGTAAATTCAATGATCACATGCTCCCTCCGTCGAACACACGTGTATATTGGGCAAGGCATACCGCCCACCCGATACGCAGCGAGCGCTTCGTGGCATGCACGTTGATGAGCACCTTAGACCTGCGAGCTATAATTACCAATCCGAGGCTATAGCCGAATCGACAAAGTTGAATAGAATCGAGTATGAAATCTAGCGCCTTTTTCGTCGAAAGGTACACGAACGCGTGTGGCCATATATTGTGGAGTCGAATTATTATATAATCCGGCAGATATTATTGGGCAGGCGCGAACCCCGATTAAAAAATAATATAAAAATAATCAAATAGATTAAAAAAACTAGAAAACGAGGCAGTTGTCGCCAACTACATGTATTCCCCGGTGATCTAGTATAAATGGAATATGTAAGGACGTAGAAAGGCAGGTAAAGTTAAATAACGTCGCAAAAGACAAAGGTTTGCCAGACGCGTGTGCGCTCAGAATGTGCAAGTATATGGAATCTGGTTTACCTAGGAGGCCGAAGAGGAAATGTAAGTCGACGGTGAATGTCTAACTGAAGGTCAAGGCAGTGGGTTTTGTATGCGAGCAGACCATTCTCCCCCAAGATGTGTAAGCATACGCAAGTTGGTCGCCTAGGTCCAATTAGGGCTGAGTTAAGAGAGCGAAAGGGAAATATGATCAAGGTCAAGGTAAAAAGGTCAAATAAAGGTCGCAGTGACCCTGGTTTTGGTACGCTGGCCAGCCTTCTTCCCCAAGAGTGTAAGTATGAACCAAGTTTGGTCACAAAAACTAGGTCAACATTTAGGGGCCGGAGTTATATATGAAAATATGATTCAAGGTCAAGGTAAAGGTGAAATAAAAGTCGCCCAGGAACCCTGACCTGGTGGCAGTTTTTACCGCGATTCGAAATCATCTTCAATTTGGTATTGAAAGAGTGCGTTATGGTAAAGCGAAGACAGCCCAATTAGTTTTGGTGTGGGCCGGAGTTATCGTTGGCATGGATAACAACATTTAGTGGAAGATATTGTAGAACGCCTGTAACTTGTGGCGTGTTTTTAACACGATTTGTCATGAAATTGGCACACAGGGCCGAATAACAGTCCATAATATATTTATATATTATATGTAGTATAGATATATATATTTGATGACAATCATAAATTTAAATATAAAATTTAAAATACAGAATTTTTAAATACAAATATTAAATTAAAAATTTTTATTTTTAATAATTTTTTAAATTTAAATTAAATATAAATTTAAATATAAATTTCATGACAAATCCGGTAAAAAGTGGCAGAAGTTACAGGTTCTAGAGTATTTCGACAAAAAATGTTGTTACGCGGAAATGACAACCGATGACGATCGGCGCCCACACCAAAAACGATAGCCGTATTCCTTTACGGTACGCAGCCTTCCATTGCGAAATATTGAAAAAAAAAGATGATCGCGACAGAAAGAACTGCAGCCGGTAGAGCGTATCACGAAGGAAATCTCTGCGGCGGACGGCCAGGCCGGCGGCGGCGCGACGATGCAAACACATAGTATCCCCACGAACTTCGTTCGGGAGATACCAAAAGGGAAAGTCGCGATCATGTTAGTCCCGCGATCTCAGGCTGGAGAGCGTATCCCAGCACTGCATACTGGCCGGCCTGCTACATTGGCAATCTTCCGAATTCTGTCTTAGGATGTTATATATATTATTATTTTATTATTAATTTTTATTTACTATTGGCCCGGCCTTTTACATAAAATGATAAAGCGCAGGCACATCGATATCGCAAACAGAACTTGAACAACGGACTGTTCACATTGCCTATAGAATATTTCGATTCTTTGTTCACTCAAACATAAAATACCATAGAAGCGACGAGTAAAACAGCTTTATTTTCCTGACTTTTATAAAACATTTCTACATTATTTATTCCAGTCAGACTGCCACTTGCTCGAATATTAACTGACCAGTCCGTCTTTTATAGGTATCACCTACTTCTAATATAGCAAGAATGAAAACACCAGCAACATTTGCTTGGCAACAACACATAATAACATTTGTTAAACATAAGAGTATAACATCATATTAATAAATAAGATTTATGCATATATAACAATAACTCGCAGGAATCGCCCGATTGCGCAATTGTCAAGAATGGCAACATAAACAAAACGCTCACGCCCGCCCCCATTACTAATGCAGCCATGATTTTAGAGTCTATATACGAATCTTGGAGGGCCAAGATTGCTATGGAAGCGTACATACACCATCCCGTGTTGCCAGACCAAACGTGCGCGTTAATATATAGATATCAGTGGTTATAAGAAATGCTTTCTGCCAACCAGTAAACTGCGCACGCGCCAAAATGACGTAGTTTGTATACCAACATGATCGCATATCACTGCTAACGTTCCTCGTTACATTTATAATATTCCACCATGCATGCACTCTTTAGATGAAAACTCGCGCCATCCTTTGCACGTCCTTACCGAACAGTATGTGTACGATCACCACAAAGAAACGACGCGATCAAGCTCTATTGAGGCAGTCGACTGCGCACGATAGAACACTAACAACCGGCGTGCGTGCAGGATAGCAGCAGTACTGGCGGCGATAGAGGAAGGGAACTCGGCTCAGATCCTCGGCGAAGATACTCGAGTATTTTCGAAAGACACCACGTGTTAGCCTAACGGTTATAAATAAGCTCTCACCGACGACACTTAATACGACGCCATCTGCAACGACGATGGACTGCTCTCGATAGCAGCTCTGGAAGCTGTGGGAGCGACGGGAGCGCGTACACGCGGTTGCTGGGTGCAACTATGTTCCGCTATGGCGAGAGCTTACATAAACCTTTATGAACAACTTCCGTGCCCGTGCGGAGGTCAATGCGTGGTTTCTCGACCAACCACAACTCTGCTGTTGGCGTTTGTATAGCCGCTGCAGTGTCCATGTGGCATCCGTATTACTTGCTTACAAGCTTTACTTGGTCCAAGCACGACGGCGCGGGTGTCGCATGCATACGCGGGTAGCTGACTGAAGATGGATATTTACATTTGGGCGAATTTTAATAACCTCTCTTATTACAACGAGACAGTTGTGGTGATAATTTTCTGTTTATTATCTTCGAAAGTTATCTGCATACTATATTTATGTGTATATTCATTGTGATATAAGTTCAGCAATAATTATCTGAATACACAAATTAAAAAAAAGAAAAATTAATAGTGCTGTGCAAAATAAGTGAATGCAGTAAAACAGACGATCAAAATTGATATTTATCCATATGGGATTATGACTATAAGATATCTGTATCTGTGTAAATATTTTTTCCATATATCATATGGTCATACATCTAATATGACAATTACTATATTTTGTATTTTAAATTTAATTCCGTGCATTGCGTTGCGCACAGATTTCAATGCTACATGCGATTTGAGTGCCTCATTCAGCGATATATATCTGTTACCAATGTACCGTCTTTAAATTAATAAATAAATAAAATAAAATAAATAAATAACATTGGATTTATTGCCACATGCGTTGCGCACAGATTTCGCGCTACAACGCAGTTCTGCGTGCACAACCGATTGCCCTGCACCTTGGCCAGAGCATATAAATCAACGTTGATTTATATGCGCTGCCTTGGCCTGCCTGCATAACCTTACCTACTGGTGCCACCTGTCGTTACATAAACAAAGTGTTGCCAAATTGTTAGGTAACGAACCGTAGAACTAAAATACTAGAATCAGTGAGAATCGGAAACTAATAATTCGCTTATTGCGTATAACATATAATTGTTGGTCAATTATATTCTAATTGTCATTTAAATATTTACTTGATATTACAAATGTAATGATTATAAACATCTATTAGAGTCTCTGAGGCATAATAATTAATATGCCTCATATTGCGTATTTTACTCCTCGGAAAACAATATAAGTGATTATTATTATTATTATTATTATAAGCGATTCATCAATATTAAAAGATGAATACTCAATGTGCAATATGATTCAAAATCACAACGGTGTACCAATGCACACAGTTTGCATATCTAAATTTTGACCATACTCACCCAGTCCGCAATGATGCGGTTAGGTTAGGTCAGATATAAAATTTTAGATTGGGATTAGAGTTAGTGTGGTGATGACTGAATCAATAACAATTAATTCAATTTGTGTGGTAATGCGCTGATCATAGAGAATAGACCTGAACCCACTACACGCATGCTGCAGATCTATATATAGTGCCGTTTGGCATTACTCGTGATTTAAACAATAAATGACCATTTAAAATATTACTCTGCGGATTTTGGTTTTATATTTACAAAGTCTCTTTTATTTAAACAACTTAGAAAATTATTTTTGGATATTACTAGCTACAATGGCGACGGTTGTGCGCGTTGGCGATAAGAGCGAACAAGTGAGCATCTATAAATAATGACTTGAAACAGAGAGGATTTCAGGTCGCTAGTCAACATTCAACATTCGTTGCATTTCCAAAAAAAGGTAAATCTAAATGTTATTTTATCACGTAGTGTGCACGTATTATGACAACAGACAGTATCAAACGTAATCGTATCAAAATTATTATTAATATTACTCGTGCAGATGTTGTTATGTCTACTCTAGGCCTAGGCTATATAATTATAAGTTAGGGCTTAGGCTAGTGCCGAAACTTAGTTAGCGACAGAGAATATCACGCACGAAATATCGGCCCTAAAATTTCACACATGTTGTTGTCGTGGCATAAACACTACGTATGTGATGATGTATCGGAAAGGCTAGACAGAATAATCCCTGGGCTAGAGTGTACAGCCAGAGACCTCTGCTACCATTATTACACTTGCAAAGACTAGGGTTATTGTTTACGCTGTGGCTACGGGTACGGCAGCCGTATCTTAATGTCTCGAGGCTGGAGGTACGGCAGTCCATTCGCTTTCATACTTAACGAGATAAAGATGGCAGCAGGTGGCGCCAGATTTCGAAATAACGCCTTGGGAAATAAATTCATGATTTGAGAGTTTAGATGAGCTAGAACCCTAACCCTAACCCTAACCCTAACGCCAAAAAAGGGCTTCAATGAACGACGGCTGTCGTACCTCCAGCCACTGCGTACCGGGTATTGTTTATGCTAGGGCAGGGGTAGCTCCAAGAAACGGTCTTTGCTAGGGTTAGGAGACCCTGTGTATATTGGCGTTAGTCACACAGCCTGGTCGGGTTAGGGCAGGGGTAATGCTGGGGTTGGCAAAAGTCGAGGTTCATGTTTCCATGTTCTACCCTAGTAAAGTAACATTTAATCTTGTTTACATCTATTAAACAATTATATACAGCTTTGTTTCACACAGTTGCTTTGTATTACGTACCAATCGTGGTATATATATATAACCATGCACTTTGGTGGAAGCAACTAGAAGATGAAATTATGTACGTTTCTAAAATCATGTACATCATTATATATGATACTTGCAATTATTTCCCATTATAATAGTTTTTTTTTGCTGTGGTGTATAAAGTGTGTAAATGATATTTGCACAGCTTGAGCCAATTTTGAAATATTAACACTAGATAAGTAAAACTGTAGGTGATGCAGAAATTCATTGTACCAAATTAGGTTTATGAATTGAAAGTACAAGGGTGAGCTAAGTGCATTGAGAGTGTGCATGTGTGACATTAATGCATGAGGCAATACTGATGATAACTTTTGATTGGGACTTCGGCAAGGCTTTTTACAGACGTTCAGGGTTCTCCTCAGGATGAAATTGAAACAGGGGGAGGGGAGGGGGTAGGGGGAGGGGAAACTAGGGTGGTCCGGGGGGCGAAATTATTTTCCCCACGAGAGTTCCGGATACACCATAGATAGTGTTTGGTACTATGCCATGCGTATATAAGATAGCTGAGTCGGTTTAAAATTAGTGTTAGGGTTAGGGTTGGGTTCGCATAAACAAACGATCGATTCCCGCGCTGTCAAACTTTTATTGTGGTGGAATTTAAACGTGGCGCAACGATTGAAACAAGGGGGGGGGGAGTATTCCCAAACGGGGCGGGCGCGCCCGGTTTGCGCAACGTAGGGAGGGGCCTGACGTTACAGCTTTGAGCATTATTATTGTAAAGTAAGATTATTGCAAGTTGCATTCTGTGTTAAAGTAAGGGTTTCGAACAATTTTCCTGACCGTTCTTGTATTTTCCGAACTTACATTACTGACTGCTATTGCGCGTGTAACAGCAGGTGTCAACAGTAAGGCTAACATGTCTTAGAACACTTGCACCATGTTAGTTTCACCAAAAAATGCATCGAAGTTGTTGACTTCTTGTTGACGCGGTTACATGATGATGCCACTTGTTTCTCGCGAGACCCTGTCCATAAAACTTGTTTATGGCAACTTGCATCATGAAGTAATCATGATGCTGCGCCAGTCTATAACCCCTTACATCACTCAGCACTTTTGTCTGGTGGCACCAATAACTAGGTAGTTTTGTGTGTTTTGATTCACCGAGGTATATCTGATATAAATCACAGCTGATGTTTTCTCTTATAGAATTTAGAATTTAGCTATTTTTCTACATCTCCCATATTTAATTAACTCTACAGCATCTTGGATGTACTTCATGGAAATTGTAAATGCATTAGAGTAAGTAATGATCAGCAAAGCTGATTAGGTGATTATTTAATGATTCATGATGATAAGTTGGTATATTATTATATCTGTGGGTCAGAAAATGCATGAAATGTTGTGGGTATGAGTGGATAGTTCCATTATTAACGTTCATGTAGTTTCTTTAAATGTTCAGTGTTTCATACTGCAATTTGTATCACGTAATCTTTGTTTCTGTTTCACCATAAAATGGTCGTTCCCAGCACGTTTTTTTTTTGTAATGTACAAATTGGGCAGGATCAATCCATCGTTAGCATTCCGTTTTTTTCGTTTTTGCTATCATCGCTATACCCCACTCCACAATTTTCTATCCTTTTTGAAAAACTCCAACATGCTTCTTATTTTGTTTAAGCACAAAATGTTTAGTATCCCTGTTTCTATTTTTGTAAAGATAGTTTTAAACTTTTGGTGGGATAAATAGTTGAGCAATGTTTTGCTGAGCTGGTAGTGACTGTACTTACTTTTCAAGCTTGAAACTCGCAACAATTTATTTTTACTTGTGAATCGTAGCTAGCGTGAGACCTAGTCTTTTCATGTAACTCAGGCTGCAGTGTGCAGTGAGTAGTGTATGTTGTGCAGTAAGTAAGCATCAAATTGGCCAGGGCCTAATCAAAGCCGTTTTTCATACAGAATACAGGCACCCAAATTACGACCCTTAGCAAAACGCCCAAATTACAAAATTCATAAAACGCCCAAATTAGCAGAGCTCTGAAAATTGTGAAAATTAAATCTCCATGTTTCTATCGTTATAGTGGTTTATCCTGTTACTTATCTGAGATAAAAAGAAAACATATCCATGAATATATATTAAAAACAATATCAGGATGATATTAATTTTAATGTTATTATACATCTACTATACCTCAAATATATTTTCCCAAAACAGTCCCAAACGATTTTTTTCGCTCACCATGGGTGCCCATATTAAGCAGCTAGATTAGTCACTGTTGACAGACATATACAATCCGAGTTTATACTTGTATGTCTGTTGGTAATCATACTATAAATGTGGAATACATTCACTAAGGTATAATTCGAGTCCAATAGCATTGGGTTTATTTTGCGCTATTTAAAAGACCACAGAAATTGCGCAAACAA